CATATGTTTGATTATGCAGAGTCATATCACTCAAATCGTACTTTTTTCTTATTGATAGCCTTGCACTTTGAACATTGTTATGCATTGGAGTTAAGTACTGATTTCCTGACTGAAGATCTAGAAGACGATTCTCAACTGAACTGGTTGTAATTTCACTAGTGGTCTTTGTTGAACATGGGAATTGCTTGAAATGAATTGTTTCTGTATCATCTTGAAAATCCAACAAATCTTGTCCCAATAATTCTAGTATATTATTATCATGAACATCTAGATGCTTTATAGCCAACGCCAGCGAAGCAGGTTCTGGAAATAACAGTGGATTGATTAAAGACGATAGATTCTGTTTGGGCGCCAAATGTACAAGTGGAGTGACTGTTAAAGCAGTGCTTAACTCTTCATCAAACCCTTCTTCACTAGACATCAAAGTACTGATTGACAATCTGTGGATGGTGGTTGTCTGGCAACAGATCCGAAAAAAAAAAATAATAAAAAAAAAAAAAAATTCAAGAATGCGACTATCGCGTCTTTACAACATAGACTTCTGTGATATAAAAAATGTATATTAAATAACTACTAACAAATAATAATAATACATTATGATCCATTACTTCTTCTACCTTGTATTTCTGAATACGAAACATTAGGAGACCCTGTCATCGGTGATGCTGATTGATTTTTTGGATACTGTTGTGGCAAGGGTGACGAGGGACTACCTTGCATCATAGCCATTTGATGGTTTGTGTTATCTGGGGAAGGACCAATTCTTGTGTTGGGGCTAACATTGTTTCTTTGCACTTGTTGTACTTGCTGTTGCAGAGCTTTGATATTTTGTTGTGGTTGAGGTGACTGGGAATTCATCCGATTTTGTTGCTGCAGTAGGTTCGCAAGGTACTGAGCAGCAAGCTTTGTAACCTGATCTTTGGCCAAACCTGGATTTTGTTTCTGGATCTCATTAATGACCATTGAAACCTGTGCTGGTGGGAAAAGTGGTCTTCTAGGCTGCTGTTGTGGTTGTGGTTGAGGTTGCGGACCAGAAATCGGGGATACTTGTTGACCATTAGGTGTTCCCACTCTCATCGCTTGTGAGTTCACATTCATTCGTTGTGGCTGTTGTGAATGAAGTTGCTGTTGTTGAAGTTGCTGCTGTTGCTGTTGCTGTTGCTGAAGCATTCTTCTTTGTTTCTGCATTTGAATCAAGTGTTGTATTTGTTCATTTGTCAATGGTGTACCATTAGGAGTAGTTGGTCGTTTAATCGGAACTTGGGCATTTTGAGAGTTTGGCTGTCTTATTGGTACATTTGTAGGATGAGGTGGAACTATTTGGTTAGCATTTGAATGTCCATTAGGCATCAGTATACGCGGTCCAGGCATTGATTTCGGGGCAGCCCCAACATTCCTGACTTGTGCATGCATCTGTTGTTGCGAGGTCGATGGGTGAAGTTGAGATTGTTGTGGAGGTTGTGGTTGTGGTTGTGGATGAGGCTGAGGTTGATGGTGGCGTTGTTGTTGTAATTGTACTTGTTGTTGTTGCTGTCTTTGTTGTTGATGCCTTTGTTGTTGTTGTTGCTGCTGCTGTTGTTGTTGCTGTTGATGATGCTGGAGTAACCTTTGTTTACTAATAGTCTGGTTCAATATCGTGTCATTTATAGCTTTATCTCTTTCAAATTTCAACTTCGATAACTCAGCTGGGGTAGGAATTCTATCATTGTTTGATTTAGAATCCAATGAATTTGCCTGTTGTTGTTGACTTGCTTGTATTTCATTTGTTGACTTGCGGTGATTCATCTTTGCAGCAACAATCTCTCTTTTCTTCATAGCTTTGCGCATGGCATCAAACATCGATGCCCAACGCAATTTCCGACTACCCCTTTGTATGGATTCAACACCAACACCTAATGGGGATATTCTTCGTTTTGTAGTCAGTTGTGCTAAATGTGCATGCTCTAGCCACTGTTGTGCATGATATGCATATACTCCTTTCATATCGGAAAATTGGAATTTATCATTCAATTGTATGTACCTTTCAAAGCATTGCCACGGGGTTCTTCTTTCAATATTAGATTCGTATTTCTTTAGACTGACAGCTGAAGATGCTGACAGGATATGTTCTGAAATCAAGTCCCAATTAAAACAAAATTCAGCAACGTAATGAATAAGTCTTTTATCGTCTTGAGGAAGCCAAATAGTGGGTGATCTATATTCAATATTCTTTATCAATGGTGGTTTTGGCGGCTTCAATGGATTGAAACGTCTGTGTGATTGGGTGCCAAATAACCCCTTTTGGTATTCAGGGGGACCATACAGAATGCTACTTTCATCAACCCGGTCTCGAAGCACGATTTTATGCCATTGCTCATCACCTTCCTGTGGATACAACAACCGTGATACCGATGCAATTGGTAACTCCTTTGGTTGAACCGTGTGGTTATCAAACGCCGAGAAAACCGGCAAGTTCTTAACAATGGATTGATCAATTTTCTTTAATTCATCTAGGGTTATGTATGATTTGAAAACACGCTCTTGTGGAGGCTCTGGTTTGGCACTTCCATTGGTGTGTTCAGTAATGTTAATTGTAGAACTTGTATCAACACGAGAGTCATCGCTCTTTGCTAACAATATTGATGTATCAATCGTTCGAGGTTCAGGTTCACTTATATTCTCAAGACAAGGTGTTTTCTCCTCTTGTTTAATGTTGTTGCCTTCTTGTGTACCGGAGACAGCTCCTAGTGGATCATGATTAACTTCATTTCCTGTTTCCATATCTGTATCTTCATTATCCAAATACTTGATTGGCTTTCTTTTTATGCACACCTTCTTACCAACAGCCCAGTATTCTTCAACTGCTTCCGCCATTATCACACAACACCATTTTTTGTACTTCAGTGATTCTCGGAAATCATCTGTCATCCATTTCGCTTCCTGAAGTAAATAGTCCCAATGAAATGTTCTCTTTTTTGACCTCCTTATAAACTTGAATGGATCATAAAACTTCAGTGGCTGTCGCAAAGACCATTTCCCTTGTCTTTTCAATTCTTCGATTCGCGAATACAAAACTGCTATCTTACCTTCAGCTAGAGCCAGTTCAAAATTATCTGTCATTAAAACTTTATGACACCCGGGAAGTAGTTTGATCAATGGAAGGGTCTGAGTTAAATAATATAATTCTGCTAATGGTGACACTGTTTGTGGATGTATTGGATATTGTGCTGGGGCTGTAATCACTTCAAGCTCATCCAACAGTTTATCCAAAAACAATTTCAATTCCTCTTGATCAATTATATTCTGAGTTTTTAACGATTTAACTTGTGATGGTCTAACTTCCTTCTTCATAACAAGACTGTTCTTTTGATACTTTCTAGCATTCCCCTCTAGTTGCGCTTCCTGTCTTCTTTTCAATTCTTCTTGTGGTATATTAGGACGAACAATAGATTCTTCCATGGAAACAATGATTGCTTCTTTGAAAAGCTGCTCTACCACCTTTTCTGATTGTTGGATCAATGTCATGTTTTTCTCAGCGGTACCTGTTTTCAGAAAGTCTCTCAAAAACGGATCTGCTATGATGTGCAGAATCTCTTCTAATCGAGACTTCCAAGTTTCATCCATCTTTTACTTGAACACCTTGAAATAAAAACACCCCACCAAAAAAAAAGATGATTTGTGAAGATAAATAAATAAAAATAAAAGAAAAATGTGTTGGGATAGGAATAAAAACAAATGTTTTGCTATTAAAAAAAATAAAAAAAAATCTCAAATTTTTTTTTTCTTTGCTCAACTGAAGAATGTATAGTCGTGTAAAAGTGGATACAATGGTCACGTGACACCGTGTTGCTCATAAGAAATGTAAACGGTGAGTTGGGAATTAACATACGCGAAGTGTAATGGCATAAGCTGTAATAGACGCTTGAGATTATTTTAGTAGTGGTGTCAAGTTATATTTGACTCAGTACATGTATGTTTTGCAGTTTTTGCCTCCACTTTTTCGACAACAGAAAGATATAGCACAATAACAAAAAATTCGGATCAACGAGACAACTCCCACCAAACAAACAAAAAAAAAGTTCATAAAAAAAAACCAATCACTGCTTTTATTCTTGCTTTCCAAATAAGGTACCGCACCAAATGAATTTGGATTCTATTAACGGACAAGATTTGACTGGCGCGTTTAAGATCACTAACTTGACCGTGTCTGGTCTTTGTGTATGTTTTACAATTCAACATGGACGTTCATGCTTACTAGGACTTGATTTACTAACTTTCCAACTTTTCTAGGTTCTTGGAGGATTCTCGCAATTGTTCCACAGCTTGTATGTTTAACGAACTGTTGTTCAAGAGGAATTGGTTTACTAACATCAATTTAGCCATTCGGTATGTACATTTTTGTTGTTGCTATCAAGCATGAAGTAGGTTACTAACACAATATAGTTTGTCTCTGGGATATACATCATTGCCTTTGGAGCAGTTATTGGAGCACTAGGTATGTATCATTATTGGAATCTCGATGTGTGCTTGTTTATTTACTAACCATTTGAAGAGTTTAGAGTTCCTGCTGAAGCTTATGTGTATGCTTCATTTTTGTTTTCATTTATTGGGCGTGGTATATGTATGTATTAGATAACGTTTTCATATTTGCTTGATGATCAGAATACTAACAATATCAGTCTACACATTTCTTGGGGTAAGTTTGAGTGGCGGCTCAATCTTTAGAATTTTAGCTGGGTTAATTGTTTTCATGATCGGAGTGGCATATGTTGTTTTGGAAACCGTGCCAAGTATTTCTCCACCGGACAATATGAACCCTGAAGGTGCCATGATTGGATTGAATGATGACGAGGGTGTTTAGGCAGTTTTGTTAAATTTGTCTTTCGAATAGAATAGTTGACGTATTTTGTATGTACAAGTTTTACTATTTTCTATATTTATATACAGAGTTCTAAGCGTTTATCTGGCTTTACCGCTTCCCGCTTTAATTATTAGAACATCTCCTTCCTCTACTTCGTATTTCTTACCACACTTATGCTGTTTACCTTGAGATTTTAATTTGTTCTCGTCAAATTCTGATACTTCCTTCAAGTCGTCCCATTTGTATACAATTGAATTGATAAATGTCTTTTGTAAATCAGTATGGATCAAACCCGCTGCCTCTGGTGCGGTACTTCCCAGTCGGATGGTCCATTGTCTAGCTTCGATGTCTCCACATGTGAAAAATGAAATCAATGATAATACCAGTCTCATTTCCTCTACTACTTTTGGAATTACAGAGTCTCGGCCAATATCCAAAACGTACTCTTTCAACTCTTCCTCTTCTAATTCGTTGAGAACAGTTTCATGCTCAGCACTGAACATAATGAGTTTATCGTTTGGAGAGTTGGTGGAAATCCATTCTTGAACTTGATCATAAAACTGGTTTTCTTGCTTACCATAATCTTCTTTGCTGACATTGAGCAAATACACTGTTGGTTTCGCGGTTAGTAAATTCCATCCATTTATTACCTCGATCTCTTCATCAGTCCATTCACCATTTACTGCTTTGATACCATCGTACAACAAAGCAGATAATTTATCCAAAGTAGCAAGATGAATGTCGTATTGGTTGGCATTAATTCCCGGTTTTTTTTGCAACTTCTTTACTTTTTCAATCTCCAGTTCAATAATCTCTAAATCCTTGAGAATTAATTCATCGTTCACAATAACCAAGTCTCTAACCGGGTCGACTTTGTTATTTTCAATGTGGACAATTTCATCATCGACAAAGCCTCTCACCACTTGTAAAATTCCATCAACCTGTCGAATGTCATTTAAGAATTTATTTCCCAACCCGGCCCCACTGCTTGCATTTCTAACCAATCCGGCAATATCCCAGATGGTAAGATTAGTAGGTACCATTTTCTGGGACCCATATATCTTTGCATAATGGACTAGTTTATTCAGAGGAACCAACACCATGGACTTTTCAGGTTCTATTGTAGCAAATGGGTAGTTTGCTGGATTACCCAATTTGGATTTAGTAAGTGCTTGAAAGAAGGTCGATTTCCCAACATTAGCTAGACCAACTAATCCCACTGATAAATTGTTTGAAGCGCGTCCAAGAATTTTTCTGCTTTTCTCGGAAGTTGACATGGCTGCCTTTGCCAGAAGTCTGGTACCCGTAGTGAAACATCGAATGGTTCTATAGAACATAGTTATATATAAGTGGTTCAGTGGGCTTCGGAATCTTGAATCTAAACTTGGCTGAATTTTGTTTTTTTTTTCATTTCTTTTTTTTTTTTCACCTTCTCGCGTAACTCTGGGCGAAGTTTACAGAGAATGGAAATACGAAAAGATGTGAGCAACAATTTTTTTTTAGCGCCCTGGGGGCAGTACAGTATTTTCGCTTCATGATGTGTTGTTTATCTTATGTGTTTCGACTTTTTTTTTTTTAGTTCACTACTAACTCTATGATTTGCCAAACTGAATGTCATCGGATGAAATAAGGTTTACTATACCTCGTTCTTCATACTTAGGTACTCTTTTGAGTTATCTAACTCCTGAGACACTTGCAAAGTGTGGGAAAAGCTTGTTCATAGGAGAGATACCCGAATTATGGCATAACGACAAAAAAGTGGCTCTTTCAAAAGTATTGAAGCAAAAGTCGGCAACTCGTTTACATCAAACCAATGATGTTGTTCAGCAGTACCTTGCGAGTGACAAAGGTAATCCGTTTTTCAAACGACGAGAGGAAATTCTACAAAATATCGAGAGTATTAATAACAACCTGTCTAGAATATTGAATGAATCGAATTCCCCAGATTCGAGTGGAGTTGAAATATTTTCCCCAATAAATGAAGGTTCAGAATTGGATTCATTGCCCACCATTCATGCTCCTTCTTCAAATGTGAAGTTTGAGGTGCCTCATCCACAGACCAGCTTCCTGATGGATTATACAGAAATAGAGGAAGAAAATAGAAAGTTCACCAAACAATTGAAAAGGTTCACGAAGAAGGCTGCTGGTGACCGAAAACCGACACATAAACCAAATAGAATCCAGGAATCAATTATCAAGTCTTATAATGTTGGTGATATTATCAGAATTGATAAAGTACTAGTGATGGCAAAGCAACAGTTTGGAGATTCACAAAATATTGAAACAAGAGTCATTGAACGATGGAGAGAGTTTGTTCTCGTGGTTAGAAAAACAGACTCCCACACGGAGCCGTTTATTTTGCAATTCTATGATATAAACAAGTTGCCAACACAGTCGCATCCCAAGTTTGGATTTCGTATTAACAAGGAACTTTCGGTGGAATTTCAGAGTTATTTGGATAAGACCATAAGTGTAACCGTTTCAGAGAAAACAAAGTATGTGTTGCGGTTAAATAACCAAGAGAATGCATTGCGGTGGGTGTTTTTCACCAAAGAAGCCTTGGGCATCTGTCTGAATCGGGTATTCAATATTTATGTGCCTGCAAGGAAAATATATCTTGAAGTGGCTGTACCAGAACTAGTACTTCATAGCTTTTTCAAAAAAACACATAACTTGGTCATTATTAAAAAAGAACATGGGTATGACGTGATTTTAGATGAATTGGTTCAATACTTGAAGGATTTTATTTACAGAAAAGTACCAGAGCATCCACAAAACTCGTGGTTTTGTTTTCGACATTATGATCGAATAGAATGGACAAAGAATACAGCCGAGATGTTGTATATCCAGAACTCTTTATTTCTGCCGCTATATCAATTGGAGTACCGAGAGGTGTGTGCTATTGACACAGAGCCTATACCTGTTGAAGGGTTTTTGGGTAGGTTAACAAATACCGAGGGCCACGAACGATCTGGTTTGAGAGATTTTTATAAAATTCTGTATTTCTTTACCAACAGAAACATACTATTTTTTACCAAATATTATCGAGCCATTCTTCCTCCCAATGTTGAGAACACATCTGCGCTAATTACCGAGCAGAATATATTCTCTTCAGAGCATATGGCCGCGTTGTTGAAAAATCATTCCCAACACGATAGTTTTGCTGAAAATGAAATTAGACGGAAAATCGAGTTGGTTGTTAATGCAGAAGGGTTGATAGATGTGGCTGATATTATTGACATTAGAATTTCAAATGCAACAACAACACAGAAATTAATGCAGTGTACATTATGGTACAGCAAACCAGAGTTGGTCCACGCAGACGACATTACCGAGTCGTGTTTTGAAATAGTGCTTAGAAATGGTAGTGTGATTAAACTTCAAGCGCCAACAAGAGATGCTCGAAGGGTGTGGATGTCACGACTAGGGGAAATCAGTGAATACTGGAGCAGGAGGGCAAACATAAAGTTATGTGATGAAATCAATGGGAAAGCAGAAAACAAGAGACGATTGGTGATCAATAATTATGTGGACTCAAATGCCCCCGATGAGATTAACTTTCTTGAATCAAAGAATGCAGTGGCAAATAGCGTGGGTATGTACCATCTACTTCCCAATACATTGGTGATCAAAAGCGGGTATTTATACCAGAAGAATAAAAAACATTCCAGTTTCAACAAGTTTTATGCTGTCTTGTGTCCTGGGTTTCTTATAATTTACCACACATTCAAGAGGTCGAAAGTAAATGGTACATGGAAAAGATCTTCTTATTTCACACACTATATTACCATTCCGTTAGTGGAGTGCTATCTTTATAGCGGACGGTTGGCTGAATTGGATTTATTAGCACCAGGAATTCGGAATGCACAATCAGATAAACTTTCGGTTCCAAGGGTACACCAAGATGGATGGAGATCAATGGAAGAAGACCATTTGTTGTGTTTTACTTTATGGTTTGGAAAAAAAAGGAATTTGACGCAGTATGAAAAGAACCTTCCCGCTGATATGGAAATAGCTAAACAAAATCAGAATAATCCTTCGTTGCTTAGTATGATTCGTACTCTAGGGGTGACGGGAAAGAGTATTATATTCACTACAAAGAGTCGACAGGAACGTGACCATTGGATTTCTTGTATATTAGAGGATATGGATAGATTCAATCTCTAGTTTGTAACTAATGCATTATCTATTTCGATAATTAACTCTTCCCATTTGTCCATGGTGTCTTTATTCAAAGCCTCTTGTATTACTTCGGCATCGGAGTCCACGTCAGAGTCACTATCAGTGTCAGAATACTCTGACGCGGCAGATTTGATGGTAGACGGAAGACTATCCGATTTTGCGTCTTCCTGGTCTGTATTTATTGATGATGTGATAACTGCACCCGGTAGTTGTAGGGTACTATCCGAAACGGCCACTACCCATTTTTCCACTATGGCACTTGAAGTGGACTGTAGTAAAGTCGAGTTGGGAGAGTCACTGCCGGTTTGATACACCTGCAAGATTGCTCCTCTAGATGAAATCTTGATATCTTTGACAGGCACAAATACTGGTTCCTCTATTTTATTCCAAATAAGCATACATGTGTCAAACAAGTATACATATCGAGTTTGAAAATAGTCCATTGGCTCGATACATACAGACAATTCATCTGCCACTCGTAACAGTCCCAATTGAAATAGTTTTGACAAATTTACGTTAACACAATTGTCCAACAAGAATCGAATCAACTTGTTTTTAACAACTTCGGGATCAACTGTTTTGTCAAATTCATAATCTGTAGTTACTGTTGAGATTGTTGAATTTGGAGATGGTGATCTAGTGGGGATTCCAACGACGTTACTATTTTTTAAACTCGTTCTAGTTCTTCTTCTCATGGATGGGAAAACACTAGTATCTTGTCCATCAAGGGTTGACTTAAGTGCAGTGAGGTTTACACTGTCGACTTTTGGATGTGGTGCCGGACGTCTCGGGATTAGCGATAGTTTCCTGGTAGATATCAAGTTCCAGTTTCCTGTGTCAAGAACAACTTTGCTGTTGTTGTTGTTGCATTTTTCCCCTTTACAGTTCTTACCAAATGTGATTGTTTTACCACCCGTGTACGACTCTTGCACCTGCTGCATTTCATCACTGAAATAAGCCTTGAAACATTCACAGTGAACCAGATCACCACAATTAAGCTTGACAATTCTTTCTGCTTGCAACACGCTGGAAAGCAGCTCTTCACATATAAAACAGGTTTCTTTACTCTTGTCCTCCATAACATCTGGAAGTGTTCCTTGTTTGTTGTTACTAAGAATATTTGCAAAAGAAACGTTCAATCCAAGGTCCATATCAGAAAACGGATCTCTATTGGGAATCTTTTCTGGCCGTGGACTTGAAAATGTTACACTAGCTGGGGTTGTATTGGGAGTATTGACAGTGTTTCCAAAAGATGGGGTTCTTGCATGGATTGGTGTTGCCATTAAAGGACCAGAAATTGTTTCTCTATATCTACTTGGTGAAGTACTGGAACTGGTGGTTGAATCATTTCTAGCTCCATTCTTGGTTTTTAGGAAATCCTTCCAACTCTTTTTATCTCTCGTTCTCTTGAATTCAGGACTTGATTGAAGCATATTGTTTGTGATTAGCAATGAGAGGCCAAAAAAAAAGAATCTATAATAAAAAAAAAGGTATACCAAAGAAAAGGTATACCAAAGAAAGGGATTTTTTTTCCCCTTTACCCTGTCAATTTAGAAAATAAAAAAAAGGTGATTAAAAAGAATTTTAATGTTTCAGATTTCTGGATTGGTAAATGCAAATTTAAAAACAAAAAAGAAAATGCTTGTCTTTTTTTTAGTGTAAGCCGCAAAACATTCCTAGTTGAGAATAGAGTTGATTTTTAACAGGTGAACACAAAACAGAAGATATATTAAATAAAGCCGTCTATGCATTTAACAACTTGGAATAACTTCCACCTATTTAATATCTTTGGTAATCAAATGGAGGTTGAGAATCTGGGGTCCAACGTTCTTGTCTACCATAGTGTTCGTCGTATCCTCTTTGGGCATTTTCAATAGCTTGGTTTCTAACTCTGTCTCTATCCAAGTAATCCAAACCTTTGGATTCAAATAACTTGTCGGCTTCGGCACCAGCTAAAGCAGCAATGGCTTCTTTGGCAAAAGCATGACTAACTTCTTTACCTTCTCTTCTTTGTTTATCTTCAAACATCTTTACAGCAGCAAATGAAGCGGCACCAGCAACAACTTCATGAGAGAATTTGGATTCGTGGTTACCGTTATAGACTTGTTCGTGGTGTTCTTCAAAAAGACCAAACATTGTGAATTGGGGGGAGTGGTAAGGAAAAAGAAAGAACAAAAAAAAAAAAATGTCGACGAAGGGGGAAATCAATGGGAATTTATAGTGTTGAAGAATTGTCCAAATGAGTAGTTAAAAACAAAACTCCTCTCACTAAGCCCTGTTGAATATTATAATCCGTTGTTCAGAGGGTTAGTTTCATATGAAATGAAATTTGGGTTCATGAGGGTATTGAATAGGGGAGAGACGAATACAGGTTCTGAGGTTAGCGACGTTGCGGAAAACCTCGGTTACATAGGTGAGTATTTTTTTTTTTGATACTAAGAACTAACCAAATTATACAGAAAATCCATGTCGAGATAAACTACCGTTTATAATTCTCAGGAACACCTGCAAGCGTGGGGGAAAGACATATTCTAAACAGACTACTCCAATTGTTTTTTAAGAGTTCCCACATCAGTTCCAAAAGTCGTGCGATTATGTCAATTCCTTCCCGGAGATTAACCTCCGAGCGAGTGTATCTCTACGGATTACAGTGAACCATTCCAACAAAAAAAAAAAAAGGGAAAATCCTCTCTACCCATTAGCGAAGACCACGAAAAAAAAAAAAATCAAGGAAAAACACATTATCTATCGGTGTTGGTTTTTCCTTATTAACTATACTATTATTATTCAATGTTACGTACATCAACTACTACTCGTCAATTGGTTGGTGCCACTGCCAATATGCTTGTGGCAAGAAGATCAATGGCCAAGGCTGCTTCAGACTTGGTTTCTATTGAATTGCCAGAAAGCTCATTTGAAGGATACAATTTGGAAGTTCCAAGCTTGTCATTTGAAACTGAAAAGGAAAACTTGTTGAAAATGTACAAGGATATGATTGTTATCAGAAGAATGGAAATGGCAGCAGATGCGTTATATAAAGCCAAGAAGATTAGAGGTTTCTGTCATTTATCTGTTGGTCAAGAAGCCATTGCTGTTGGTATTGAAAATGCCATCACTCCAACCGATACCGTCATTACCTCCTATAGATGTCATGGTTTTGCTCACATGAGAGGTGCTTCTGTCAAATCTATTTTGGCCGAATTGATGGGTAGAAGATCTGGTATTGCCCACGGTAAGGGTGGTTCCATGCATATGTTTACCAACGGTTTCTATGGTGGTAATGGTATTGTCGGTGCTCAAGTTCCATTGGGTGCTGGTTTAGCTTTCTCACACAAGTACAGAGGTGACAAGGATGTCTGTTTTGACTTGTATGGTGATGGTGCTTCTAACCAAGGTCAAGTTTTCGAATCCTTCAACATGGCCAAGTTGTGGAACTTGCCAGTTATCTTCTGTTGTGAAAACAACAAATATGGTATGGGTACTGCTGCTGCCAGATCATCTGCCATGACCGAATACTACAAGAGAGGTCAATACATTCCAGGTTTGAAGATTAATGGTATGGATGTCTTGGCTTGTTACCAAGCTTCTAAATTTGCCAAGGATTGGGCATCTCAAGGTAACGGTCCACTTGTTTTGGAATACGAAACTTATAGATACGGTGGTCACTCCATGTCTGATCCAGGTACTACTTACAGAACTAGAGAAGAAGTCCAACACATGAGATCCAGAAACGATCCAATTGCTGGATTGAAGGCTGTTTTGTTGGAAAAGGATATTGCCACTGAAGATGAAATTAAATCATATGATAAAGCTGCTAGAAAATACGTTGATGAACAAGTTGCTGCCGCTGAAGCCGATGCTCCACCAGAAGCCAAGATGGATATCTTGTTTGAAGATGTTTATGTTCCAGGTAGTGAAATCCCAGTTTTGAGAGGAAGAATCTCCGATGATTCATGGGATTTCAAAAAGAAAACCTTTTTAAATAAAGTTTATTAGGCTGTATAGGAAATAATATTAATTATTCATTAGTGGTATAAATGAGAATGTAAAAGCGACAGAGAGAGGGAGAGATAGAAAAGTAAAAAAAAAAAATCATCGCGAAAAAAAAAAAAACCGAGAACCCAAAACTCATATCAACAACGGACAATGTCAAACCAAGTAATACGACAGAAACGAAATGGTAAACAGGAAGTGGAAACCCCTGCATTGTCAATGGCAGGAAGGATTTCGATAAAGGAAATGGGTAGCAGTTACAAAGCAGAATCGGCCACGATCCAGCAATCAAAAAAGTCTACAGAGCCAGAGGAGTACAATGATCAAGCATTTGAATTGTTTATGACTAAAATACATGGGTATTTACCAGATTCATCACATGAAGTTATCCAATCAGCAGCAAAAGTTGCTAGTGAACAGTTGAGTAGTGTAGATGTACCTGTACAACAAAAGAGATCCGATCTTGAAGAGTTGTTAAATGTCAAGATAAGTGATACAGATTTGAATGAGTTGATTCAATTGGCCAATAAAATTCTAGCGTCAAGATTAGAGCAGGAGAAACTTCAAGAGGAAAATGAATATGTTGCCGTGAATTTTGAAGAATCTGAAGATGAAAATGACCATGGGTTTGAAGAAGAAATCGACGCCGAGGAGGAAAGTGAACCTGTTGATGTTATTTGTGATTGGCAATGGTTGGAAGGAAGATTTCCTGAACAGAGTTTAGGGATTTTTGATTTACTTGCTAATAAGGAATTAACAGTGGGACAATTGGATAATGATCTCAATGAGTTGTTGGATTACGAACATAATGATCTTGTTGTGAAGTGTATTGAAAATCGTTGGCGTATTGTGTTTACCAAGAAGATGGTTAGTGAACCGAGAGATGTTGTGATACAAGAGATGAAGGATCTTAAATTGGATTCTTTGTTGGATGAGTTTTTCAAAAAGAGACCAATCGAAGAGGAGGAGGATTCTGGTACTAAACGCCAGAGGTCGAGTCAGAGAATCACACAGCGGGTCAATTTGGAAAAGATTATTTTTTCTACCAAAGCTGAAACTACAAAGATCACCCTTCCAGAAGGGACTTTTCAGGAGAATAAAAAGTCGTACGATATAATCACTGTTCCACCACCAGAACAGCCTGCATTGGCTGATGATGAAATTCTACCGACATCTACATTGCCACCTTGGGCACAACAGGCATTTCCTACAAATGAAACCACTACTTTTAATAGAATCCAATCCAAGATTTATCCGCAAGCGTTTGAAACAGACAACAACTTGCTCATTTGTGCTCCAACGGGTGCGGGTAAAACAAATGTGGCCATGTTGACTATCCTTCGAACAATTGGCAATTATCGTCAGAATGATCATGTTCAGTTAAAGAATTTCAAGATTGTATACATTGCTCCGTTGAAAGCGTTGGTACAGGAACAAATGCGTGAATTCCAAAGAAGATTAACGGCATCATATGGTGTTGTTGTGAATGAGTTGACTGGTGACCTGGCATTGTCCAAACAGCAGATATTGGAAACCCAGATTATTGTGACCACACCAGAAAAGTGGGATATCATCACCAGAAAGGATCCAAGTTATGTGAAATTGGTAAAGTTGATCATTATTGATGAAATTCATTTGTTGCACGATGAAAGGGGACCGGTGTTGGAAAGTATTGTCAGCAGGACAGTAAGAAGATCCGACGAGGTTAGAATCGTGGGGTTGTCGGCTACTTTGCCGAACTATAGAGATGTTGCCAAGTTTATTCAAGTGCCTGTCGAAGGGTTGTTTTATTTTGATGCTACATTTAGGCCTTGTCCGTTGCAGCAAGAGTTTGTTGGTGTCAAGGAGAAGAAGGCTATTAAGAAAGTAGCAGCAATGAATGAAGCGTGTTATGATCGAATGTATAAGAGTTTGAAAGACGGGCACCAGTTGATTGTGTTTGTTCACTCGAGAAATGAGACCTTCACTACGGCAAAGTATTTACTGGAGAAGTTGGACATGGATATTGTTGAACACGAGGGAACCAAAGAGGTGTTGAAACAAGAAGGCGAGTCCATGAAGAATGCCAAGTTGAAAGAGATAATTTCCCACGGGTTTGGTATCCATCATGCTGGTTTATCCAAAAGTGACAGAAGCACTGTGGAAGATTTGTTTGCTCAAGGGCATTTGCGTGTATTGGTTTCAACGGCTACTTTAGCGTGGGGTGTTAATCTTCCTGCCCATACAGTTATCATCAAAGGTACTGAGACATATTCTCCCGAGACAGGTACATGGGTGCAGTTATCACCGCAAGATATCTTGCAGATGTTGGGTAGAGCTGGTCGTCCTAGATATGATAAGAATGGTGAGGGGATTATTATTACTTCTCAAGATGAGATACAATACTATTTGGCTATTTTGAATCAACAGTTGCCTATTGAATCGCAAATGGTGCATAAACTAGTTGATAATGTCAATGCTGAAGTGGTAGCTGGTTCGATTACGAGTATTGAAGAAGGGATTGAGTGGCTTGGGTATACGTACTTTTTCGTTAGAATGTTGCAGTCCCCATCATTGTATGGAATTGAAGCCAGTTATGATTTGGATAGTGATCCAAGTTTGTATA